CCTGCAGGTCTGCGGGTGCCAAACGTCATTCTGTTATTACGACCATTCATTATGTCGTTGTTACAAGTTGATAGCATGGTGCAACTTATAACATTATACCTTAATATAAATCTTGTTTAAGGTAGTTAGTACAGCAGTAGTTCTTATATTACAAAACTACAGTACTACAATGATTTACCCATTACATATTTTAGTGACAACCTCACTTAAACATTAATGTACAAACTATATTTTCTCAAATGATAGTTACACTAGGGAAATTACACACTTTTACAACAGACGAGCATACAAAACAATTAAGCTTTGGTAGAAGGCTACTTTAATAGGAAATATAGGTTTTTCTAAGAGATTCAAACTTTTACAAACACTTACAAAACTTTACATACATATTACAAACTTATACTTGATACATGTTCAAACATTTTTGGATGACAAATACCGACACTAAAATACTTATGAACTCACCAGCTTAATGTTGATAAACTCTTTCAAAATAACTTGTATTCTCAGGTCATCAGTAGACAGGTACCGAGGCCAGCTTTTGAGAAGATGGAGCGCATCCAAGACTCATCTTATTATTTTGATATACATTATTTTTGGTGTCTATACTGTACTGAACACGCTTGTATTAAAATTATATATTTAATGCAATGGATGATGTTGTTTGCTTATTTACATTTACTGTGTTGTGATACTTTACATGACGTCCTCCGCCCCAGAACGTTTCCGCCGTTCTTGGTTTTAGGGTGTGACAGATGAAGATGAGCAAGTCCCGATCATTCTTGGAAGACCATTTTTGAGCACTGCCCAAGCTTTAGTTGATATAAGGGAATCCAAGCTTACATTATGTCTTGGAGAGGAAGCAGTGACTTTTGGAGTTAATCGGGCGTTCAAAAATTCAAGGATGAGTGATGATACGGTGTTTTCCGTTGATATGTTGGATGAAATATTGGAAAAAGAACTAGTGGGATGGAAAGCAAAAGAAAATGATGGATTTATGGTGCTTGATGAAGGAAATTTTGATCCTGAACTCGACCATCAAGAATTGGAGAAGTTATTGGAAGAAGGTGAGTATAATGACGCAATGCAAGAGACAGAAGAGACAACACAACGTGGTAAAGATGCCACGATGTGGAAAAGTTTTTTTCCTCGATCAGGAATTAAAAACCACGACACCACAACATGGCAGGATCACCACGTCGTGGTGGCTGACAAAAAACCCAAACTCAAGTTGAAAGCCCTTCCCGAACACCTGGAGTATACATTCTTAGAAGACGAACAACAAAAGTAAGTAATCATTGCTTACGACCTGGCAAAACATGAGAAAGAAAGATTAGTTAAAATTCTAAAGAAGAGACAAGGTGCCATTGCATGGAAGATCACAGATATCAAGGGGATTAGTCCAGCTTATTGTTCTCATAAGATTAATTTAGAAGAAGGAGCTAAACCAACAGTACAACGCCAAAGAAGACTCAACCCAAATATGCAAGAAGTAGTTAAAAAAGTGGTGGTGAAACTATTAGATGTTGGTATCATTTATTCAATATATGATAGAACTTGGTTGAGTTTAGTACATGTTGTGCCAAAGAAAGGAGGAATGACAGTGGTAACCAATGAAGCTAACGAGTTGATCCTAACAAGGATAGTTACCGGGTGGCGAGTTTGTATTGACTATCGAAGGCTTAATGATGCATCATGAAAAGATCATTTTCCGCTACCATTCATCGATCAAATGCTAAAGAGGTTGTCTGGGCATCTTTATTATTGTTTCCTTGATGGTTTCTCAGGGTACTTTCAAATTCCGATTGACCCACAAGATCAAGAGAAGACCACTTTTACATGCCCAAGTGGAAAATTTTCATATAAACGCATGCCTTTTGGGTTATGCAATGCACCAGCCACCTTCCAAGGATGCATGATCGCTATATTTCATGATGTGATTGAGAAGTTTATAGAGGTTTTCATGGATGACTTCTCGGTTTTCGGGTCCTCTTTTGAAGACTGTTTGTCTAACTTGGATCTTATGCTAGAAAGATGTGAGAAGACCAACCTTGTTCTCAATTGGGAGAAATGTCATTTTATGGTGAAGGAAGGCATTGTGTTAGGTCACAAGGTCTCAAGGATGAGGATATAGGTGGATAGAGCGAAGGTTGATACCATAGCCAAATTACCACCTCCAACAAATGTCAAGGGGGTAAGAAGCTTTCTAGGTCATGCGGGATTTTATAAGCGCTTTATTAAAGACTTTTCCAAGATCACAAGGCCCTTGAATCAACTTCTCTTGAAGGATGCCCCTTTAAAATTTTCTAAAGAGTGACTTGATTCATTCCATTTGTTGAAGGAAAGATTGACCACTACACCTATTATGATAGCTCCAGATTGGAGTCTTCCTTTTAAGCGTATGTGTGATGCCAGTGATTTTGCGGTGCGAGCTGTTTTGGGAAAAATAATTGACAAAGATTTTTAGCCTATCTATTATGCAAGCAAGACCTTGAACCCAACATAAGAAAACTACACTACTACAGAAAACGAGCTACTAGCAGTGGTTTTTGCATTTGATAAATTTCGCTTTTATATGGTTTTGTCTAAAACAATAGTTTTTACCGAACATTCTGCCTTTTAGTATCTTTTTGCTAAATAAGATGCTAAGCCAAGGTTGATTCGTTGGGTGTTGATGTTACAAGAATTCGACATCGAAATACGAGATAAAAAAGGGATGGAGAATGTGGCTGCTGTTCATCTATCGAGACTTCAAAATCCGCACTTGGATGAGTTAGAAGAAAACAAGATTGGAGACGAGTTTCCTGAAGAATATTTATTGGTTATAGCAGGAGAGATTCCATGGTTTGCAGATATAGCTAACTATTTAGCAAGTGAGTACATTCCAAATGACTTGACCCGCCAACAAAAGAAGAAATTCTTTTCAGAAATTAAGTATTACTTTAAGGATGATCCATACATCTTTCATAGTTGTGCTGATGGTATGATAAGAAGATGTGTATTCGGGAAGGAAAGTTGCGAAGTCTTGAAACATTGTCCTAGCTGGCCCACTAGAGGACATCATGGAGCGCAATATACAGCAAAGAAGGTTTTTGATTCGGGTTTTTATTGGCCTACTACATTTAAAGATGCTACAAAATTTATCAAAGAATGTGATACATGCCAAAGCTCGGGAAATATTTCATCACGAAATGAGATGCCCCAAAGTAGCATTCAAGTTTGTGAAATATTTGATATTTGGGGAATCGACTTCATGGGACCTTTCCCAATGTCAAACGGAAATAAATACATATTGGTAGTAGTCGATTATGTATCCAAACGGGTGGAGGCACAAGCATTACCCATGAATGATGCTCGAGTAGTAGTACGTTTGCTCAAAAAGTTATTTTCAAGATTTGGAGTTCCTAAGGCTCTAATTAGTAACCGAGGCTCCCACTTCGCAAATGATCAGTTAGCTAAAGTGTTGCAAAAATATGGTGTTCATCATAGATTTTCAACATCATATCATCCTTAAACAAGCGGGAAAACTAAAGTTACAAATCGGGCATTGAAGAGAATATTAGAAAGAACGTTTGGAAGTAATAGAAAGGAATGGTCGGATAAGCTTGATGATGCACTATGGGCATTTAGAACAGCTTTCAAAACACCTATTGGTACTACACCATAAAGGTTGGTTTATGGGAAGAGTTGCCACTTGCCAGTTGAGATAGAGCATAAAGCATTTTGGGCTTTGAAGATATGTAATTTTGAGTTAGATGAACTGCGTGCCAACCGGTTGATACAAATGAATGTTCTCGAAGAACTTAGAAACGAAGCTTGCACAAGTTCTTTGATTTATAAAGACAAAAATAAGAAGTGGCATGATATGAGGCTTGAAGGTAATAAATAATTCCATGAAGCACAAAGAGTGCTACTTTTCAACTCAAGGTTGAAACTGTTTCCCAGTAAATTGCAAACAAGGTGGCACGGGCCATTTGTTGTCAAACAAGTTTTCCCACATGGAGCTATCAAACTTATTTCAAGAGACGGGACCCCTTTCAAGGTTAATGGGCATCGATTGAAGCATTACAAGGATGGAATGCCAAGTAAAGAAAGGGAGAGTGAAATTGTCAAATTCACATGAGCGGAAACAATGTTGCTTGGAAAGAAACCCGGCTCATGACTCCTTCAAAAGAAATGCTTGCAGGAGGCAATCTGTGGTTTTGAGTTTGCATTTTCATTTCTTTAATTTTATTTGTTTTTTTTTTTAGTTTTATCTAGGTCCTTATTATCTCATTTTTCTAGTTTATCTATGAATTCGTCATGGGGTGTGGCATAAAACGAGTGTGGGGTGTGTATTTTTAAGAGTTTTTGTTAAATAGGAAAATTTTGCCCACCACGAGGTGGTCATTTTTATATCACGAATTCAATACGATAAAAACCTCGACACCACGACGTGTGTTATTCTACCACGTCGTGGCGACAAATATAACTGCTGTCATAAAAGGGTTTTTAAACATAAGTTAAAACATTTTCACTTTTTACACCACCCCATCTTTCTCGTCGTGCCAGCTTCCACGAAGAACTCTTTTTCCTCTCCATCAATTTTGTGTTCCTTGTCTCCAAAAAGGTATGATTTTCTTTTGATTTGCTTACTCTTGATAGTGACTATGGTATTATAGAACATCTATTACTTACATTGAACACATTTAGGGCTAATTTTGGGAAATTAGGGTTCCGATTTTTGCAAAATTCGGACCCAATTTAGGATTTTTTTTTGCTCCCTAATTTTGCTACCATTCTACTCTATTTCATCCACTAAACAAACCCTAAACTTGGATTTAGTTAATATGGCGTTGAAATTGGAGCTAATTGAGCTTATCTTGTCACAGTCACGACGCCACGACGAGCTCATCGTGGTCCTCATCGTGGTGTCTGGAATCATAGTTTTTCTTCTTCTGTTTCGATTATAATAATGCATATGGTTTGTTTGGTTGTTCTTTTGTGGGTATTATGCAGAAATGACCAACAGGGTTAGAAGAAATCAACCCGTTACTCGTGATTTTCCATGGTATTCTTTTCCACGAGATGTTGCACCCGAGACACATGCGCAATGGACTACTAAGCTTGATTTACTCAAGAAAAGGAAGGTGCACGTTCTAGTTGAGGTTGATTGGCATTGGATTGGAAGTTCGGGTTTGATGGACGTTATGGAGCCTTATCTTGACAAAGTATTCAATGGAGTTCAAGGGCAGTTTATGTGTTTGGGATGGAGGCGAATTTTTGAGATTTAAGAGGTGGTTTACAAAGAGTTGGTGTATGAATTTCTTGCCACAGTATCTTTCTCAATAAAAGACGGAATTTATGCGGATGATAATCTTATTTTTAACCTTGGAGGGGAAAGACGTTCCTTAATCCTAGCTAATTTTGCACTACGGATTGGTATCTACCTACAAGCTCAAGTCCATACGCCCTTATACCAACAATTTATAGCAGCCCCCATTAGGAACATCGAAGGGTTCAAGGCAGAGGACCATTGGTATTCTATTGCTAATGGGGTTTACCACAAGGGTACTGCACAGGAAAGCAACATCCGGTCACCAATTCACTGCCTTTTACACCATCGGATCACTAATACCATTAATGAACATTAAGAGGGGGATACATATCCTACTGTGGATGTTTTCTTTTTATGGGTTCTCACCTCAACTGAGGTTTATGCTGATTTACCTTTTCAGTTGGCCGATTTCCTTATAGTTCGTGCAGCTAAGGATAGGCGTGGATCCCCGCTTTATGGCGGTATGTGGATTACTCGACTCGTGCGATCTTTTGGTATTTTTTTGAAACGGGAGGCTTCTTTACTTACAGTTGAACCTCAAAAGACCTTTTCCACTCTTCTTTATAAGAGGGCTCATCTTATTGTTGATCATGGAATGGGTGGTTTTAGCATTCCTGAGGATACTCCACGACACCGGGTTCCAAGCCGTGGAAGGCAACGGGGAAATGAAGCCGAAGCAGATAAGCCAGTGGTACCGGAAGAAGATAAGATGCCCATGGATCCTTACAGTATGGCAAGAGACGATATGAGCACTATATGTCTAGTGCAGCAAATTACACCAACATGAGCCTAAATCATTTATTGAGCTCTATGTGTATATCTCGTCCGAAGTAATTTTCTTCTACGTACCCACATATTCCAACATGGGGCGACATTTGGAGAGAGCAGTTGGGTGGAGTTGGAGGAAGTTGTGGTGGAGCTGGTGATGAGGCAGAAGATTGATTTCTTATCCTTTTCTTTGTTTTTATTTTGTCTTGTTCTAGACTAGTCTTTTATTATGGTTTTCTTTTGTTTGCTTTATCTCTTGTTACAACTTTATTTTGTATGGTTTGGTTGTTTGGATGTTTTTCCTACTTTTATTACTTTTTTCTTTGTACTAGCTTCAGGTCATATGTAAGATTCAAGTAAGGGTATGTTTGGAACAAGAAAGTTCGTTAGAGTGAAGGTATAAGAGAACGTCAAGAGAAGCATGAGTTGAGAGCATTTTTCGAGGTCTAATTGAGTCATATAGTGAAAGGGTCGTGTCATACAGCTGTATGGAAGAGATGGTGTCATTTTAGTTAAAGTTGCAGCTCTTTTTGCCATTCAAATTCACTTTTCAACACCACCACGATGCAGTATCTGACACCATGACGTGGTGTCGCAATTTTCAAAACCAACATGTGTTCTATTTGGTCTACCATGTAGTGTTTATATCCACCACGACGTGGTGCTTTTCGAGTCAATTTTCCAAACCTACTCTCGTATTTCCAGTAGTCTCTGTAATGTGGGTAGCGTTATATTCATTTTCATGGTATGGATGACCTGTTCCCATGCCTTTGAATGTTCTTTTCGCGCTTTAATGAAGAATTCTACCGATTACCACAAGGAGGCCGTTGTTCTTTCAACTTCTGTGTCCACACATTCCAACGAGTTAGAAGTCTTTTCCATGAGTCAAGTCACATCTTCTATCCCAGGGGAGTCTGTTCCTTTTTCTCCCTCTTTTTAAGTTTATATTTTGCATACCATGCAATGGGGGAATTACATGAAATATGTGTGGGGTGGGGGTATTTAACATAAGGAAAAGCATTTGATTTTTTTTTAGATTTTAGTTCTTAATATGCTAATTTAGGAAACTTATCCAATTAAAATTTTTGCTACTATGGTATTAGATGATCCGATGAGAGCCCAAATGTTTACTTGAGCCAACACATGTTATAGTGTATTTGTGGCTTCCCATTTTCTAGTGAAAAGTCATGAAGTATGAAAGGTAATATGGTAGCTTATATGGCATAACACGTTTTGCAGCCTAAACCTGAAATCTATCCAGGAAAGCTTAGGTAGTCATTGCACTTAGACTAATATCTTACCTAATAAAGGTTGAAGCTAAGCTCCTTGCTTAAGCATGTAGGATTTAAGAGAAAAAAAGTGAGAATACATGTAAAAAAAGAGAGAGAGAAATTACTAAAGAGTTAAAGAAGTTTGGAGTTTTTAAAGGGTGAAGATCAAAAGAATAGTATTTCTGAAGAAATCAAAAATTGAAGATACCAGAAAATCAAACAAATAAGGAGGTGAATTCAGGTAAATCAAAGATCAAGTATACAACAAAGTTAAGAATTCAAAAGAAAAAAAAAAGAAGAAAAAAAAGAGCTCTATTATGGTATCAAAGTTGTAATTTCTAGAATTTATGTATGCTTGGCTGTTTAGCCAAAAACACCTTGAGGGTAAGCAAGATTTCTGAAGATTGATTTGGAGGGTCGCAAAAATGAATGTCATATAAGTTAAGGGGTGAAGGTTCATAAGGATTGTGAGTATTTAGGAATGGGAAGTTCTTAGGAATTTTAGACACAATTACATGCATTGAGGTCTTGGGATAATAGATGGGTTTGAAATGGATTGTTTTGTATCTTGCTGGTAAAATTCTAAATAAATTTGCTTGGGGGCAAGCAAAGAATAAGTGTTGGCGTATTTTGATATGTGCATATTTATACACATATTTATACAAGATATCCTGATATTATAATTACTTTTATGCTCTTATTAGAACAAAAGATACTTAATTTTCTATGAATCATGTTGTAGGTATTAAAAGACTTGTTTGGAGCAAAAAGGAAGCTGGAAGCTGGATTAAGGAAGCTTGGAGTTGAAAGTTTGGACTAGAGCTCTAAAATAAAGGAAAATATGCCCAATGCGTCGTGGTAATATCTGCCACAACGTGGTGTCTTGAAGATTCCCGATCAGACTCGATTACTTGTAGAATATGAGATAAACACAATCACCACGATGCGGTGGACCTAGCACGACATGGTGCCCTGCTTTCAGGAGAAGTATAAATATCTCACATAAACCTCCGAATGGGAACTTTTGGATCTGGAGAATTCAAAGTTTATCCAGGAAAGGGCACTGGAATTAAGCATTGGAAGCAAGGAATTCAATCACAATCATTAGAAGGAGGAGATCAAAGGCAACTAAACTCTACTTTTTTATTTTTCATTAGGAATAGCTATGTATTTACTTTTGAATCTCGATTTTATGACTTTGTTTGCTAAAATCATGAGCTAAATTCTCATGACTTTCATTTAGCTTGGATGAGTTGACTAAACATGGTTGATTTCATAGTTACGATTTAGTTATTTGGTTATTTGTTGACTTTTGCTTATTAAAGAACCTCAAGTACTTTTGATAACTGCTTTTTATCTACTGATTACTGAATTTGTTTAAGGTAGAATGAGTATTTTCCTTAATTGAATTTGAATCTGATGATCTTGTGATTAACAAAATTGTAGCACTAGAGTTTTGATTAAAACCTAGGGTTAAGTAGAAAAGTGGGTAAAAAAGTATAGGAGCCAATATATGACGATAAATCATATATAAAATTTATTCAATAAATTTAATTGGTCAATTAATTATAAGTCTAAGCAACTCGAACCGAACACTAGTGAATTTGTAACTTTGTCCGCTTGATCACCGAATAAATAAGCTAGTTTGCTAAAGGATCAAATTCGTGAATACCAATTTGGTCATCTTAGGAATCGGTAGCCAAAGAAACTAAATCCATTGCACTTCTACGAAACAACCATAATAACAACAAATCTGAAGCTAAACGAATCTGGAGACTTTGAGGAGGGAAAGACTTTTCTCAAAGTTATCTAAGTGTGAGTGTTGGTTGCGCAAGGTGCAGTTTGTGTGGCATCTCATCAACCAAAATGGTATTCTGGTCAACCCGGCCAAGGTCGAGGTCGTGATGCGGTGAGAGGTTCTGAAGTCTCCATCTGAGATTCAGAGTATCCGTGGTCTAGCAGGTTATTATTAGAGTTTTATCCAGGATTTCTCCAAGATAGTTGTTCCTTTGACTCGGTTGACAAAGAAGACAATTACATTTCACTGGGATCCTGAGCAGCATACGACTTTTTAGACCTTGAGACATCGATTATGCGAGGCACCGATCTTGACCCTACTGGAGGGTGTTGAGGAGTTTTTGGTTTATTGTTGATGCCTCTTGAGGCGAATTATCCGACTCATGATTTGGAGTTGGGGGTTGTGGTTATCAACCTCAAGATTTGGCGGCATTACCTCTATAGGGTCCATTGTACTATTTACATGGATCACAAGAGCCTAAGGTACCTTATGGATCAGCCAAATCTAAATATGAGGCAACATCGATTTTTCGATGTGGTAGAGGATTATAATTGTGAGATCCTATATCACCCAGGAAAGGCCAACGTGGTGGTCGATGCTCTCGGCCAGAAGGTGGTCGCGGCTCTAATTAGGGTTATTTGTTTGAGGATGACCATGATTAATTCACTTTTGGAGCGGATTCATGAGGCTCAGTTCGAGGCTACGGAGGAAGAACATTAAAAGAGTGAGCATATTCTAGGTCAGCTGGCTTGCTTCAATTATGATAGTCGTGGGTTGTTGAGTCTTCATCGACAAGTTTGGGTTCCGTATTCGGGCTGCGTGCGTCAGGTTCTGAGGGAGGAGGAACACAATTCTAGTTTCTCCATTCATCCTAAGGCGACGAAAATGTATAGAGATCTTTGTCCTGATTATTGGTGGCCCTACATGAAGCGGCATGTGGCTTGGAATGTGGAGTGGTGCTTGATTTGCAGGTAAGTCAAGGCCGAGCATTAGCGACCTCATGACAAGATGCAGTTGTTGGAGATCCCCATATGGAAATGAGAGGATATTACCATGGATTTTCATCATAAAGTTACCCCGGACTGCACATGGAGTGGATTCTATTTGGGTCATCGTGGATTGGTTGACCAAGAGCGTGCATTTCATTATGATTTAGGAGAGTACTTATGCAGAGAAATTGGTTGAGATTTATATCAGGGAGGTTGTGGCACGTCATGGAGTGTCGGTTTCGGTGGTTTCTAATAGAGATGTCCGGTTTACTTCAAGGTTTTGTAGGAGGTTCCATGATATGTTGAGTACTCATCTCCATTTCAGCAAAGCATTCCATACACAGACCGATGGTCAGACCGAACAGAATATTCTGACCCTAAAGGATATGTAGCAGGTGTGTGTTTTAGACGTTGGGGGGAGTTGGAATACGTATCTTCCGTTAGCGGAATTTTCATTGAACAATAGTTATCATGCCAACATTGATTGAACTCCTTTTGAGACGCTTTACGGGAGGAAATGCAGGACCCGAATTTGTTTGGGCGAGGTTGGTCAGCAGGTTAAGGGGAGTGTCAAGGTGGTACTCAATACCACTGAGTTGATTCAACAGCTTCGGAGTAGGATCCATATACCTCAGAGTTGGGATAACATTTATGCCAACAAACACCGATCAGACTTAGAGTTTCAGGTGGGGGATATGGTTCTCCTGAAGGTGTCACCTTGGAAAGGTGTCATCCGATTCTAGAAGAGGGGTAAGTTGGGTCGTAGGTATATTGTTCCTTTCAAGGTTTTGGGTCGGATGGGCCGGGTTACGTATCGCTTGGATCTTCCAGATGAACTCAATCAGATTCATAGCACGTTCCATGTCTCTCAGCTGCAGAGGTGCTTAGTGGATGATTCTACAGTGGTACCGTTGGAGGATATCCATGTGGATGATCGCCATAATTATATCAAGAGACAGAT